AACACATCAAAGTTATCATCCACTATGACCAAGTAGGCTTCATCCCAGGTATGCAGGGGTGGTTCAATATACGGAAGTCCATCAATGTGATCCACCATATTAACAAATTGAAAGAAAAAGACTGCATGATCATCTCCTTAGATGCTGAAAAAGCATTTGACAAAAATCCAACATCCATTCATGTTTAATGTATTGAAGAGACCAGGGATACAAGGCACATATCTAAACATAGTAAAGGCAATATACAGCAAGCCTATAAACAACATCAAACTAAATGGAGAGAAACTTAAAGCAATCCCACTGAAATCAGGGTCAAGGAAAGGCTGCCCACTTGCTCCATATCTATTCAACATAGTTCTGGAAGTCCTTGCTAGAGCAATAAGACAGTTGAAGGAGATCAAAGGGGATAAAAACTAGAAAGGAAGAAGTCAAAGTATCACTATTTGCAGATGATATGATAGTATACCTGAATGACCCCAAAAATTCTACCTACAGGTGATAAACACCTTCAGCAAAGTGGTTGGATACAAAATTAACTCAAAAAAAATCAGTAGCACTCCTGTATACAAAAGACAAAAGGGCTGAGAAAGAAGTTAGGGAAACAGCACCCTTCACAATAGCCACAAATGACATAAAGTACCTTGGTGTAACCTGAATTAAGCAAGTCAAAGAATTGTATGAAAAAAATTTCAAGTCTCTGAAGAAAGAATTAGAAGAAAATATCAGAAGATGAAAGATCTCCCATGCTCATGGCTTGGCAGGATTAATATAGTAAAAATTACAATCTTACCAAAATCAATCTACAGATTCAATGCAATTCCCATCAAATCAACAACACAATTCTTTACAAATCTTGAAAGAAAAATTGTCAACTTCATATGGAATAACAAGAAGCCCAGAATTGCTAAAACAATCCTCTACAATAAAAGACCTTCTGGAGGTATCTTCATCCCTGATCTCAAGCTGTACTATAGAGCAACAGTTTTTGTGGGTTTTTTTTGTTGTTGTTGTTTTGTTTTTTGGTGGTTGTTTTATTTTTATTTTTTATTTTATTAATTACACTTTATTCATTTTGTATCCCCCCATAAGCCCCTCCCTCTTCCCCTCCCGATCTCACCCTCCCTCCCCTTTCTGCATGCATGTCACTCCCCAAGTCCACTGATAGGGGAGGTTCTCCTCTCCTTTCTGATCTTAGTCTATCAGTTCTCATCAAAAGTGGCTGCATTGTCCTCTACCTTGGCCTGGTAAGGCTGCTCCCCCCTCAGGGGGAGGTGATCAAAGAGCAGGCCAATCAGATTATGTCAGAGGCAGTCCCTCTTCCCATTACTATGTAACCCACTTGGACACTGAACTGCCATGGGCTACATCTGTGCAGGGGTTCTGGGTTATCTCCACGAATAGTCCTTGGTTGGAGTATGAGTCTCTGGGAAGTTCCCTGTGTTCAAATTATCTTACTCTGTTGCTCTGCTTGTGGAGTTCCCGTCCCCTCCAGCTCTTACTATTTCCCACTTCTTATATAAAATTCCATTCACTCTGCCCATCAGTTGTCCATCAGGCTCAGCATCTTCTTTGATAGTCTATGCTGCAGAGGCTTTCAGAGGCCAAAAACTGCATGGTGCTGGAATAGAAACAGAATGGTGGATCAATGGAACTGAACAGAAGACCCAGAAATAAACCCACACACTTATGGACACCTGATCTTTGGCAAAGATGCCAAAACCATACAATGGAAAAAAGTATCTTCAACAAATGGTGCTGGTCTAACTGGATATCTACATGTAGAAAAATGCAAATAGATCCATACTTATCACCCTGCACAAAAGTAAAGTCCAAGTGGCTCAAAGACCTCAACATAAAACCAGAAACATTAAATCGGTTAGAAGAAAAAGTGGGGAGGACCTTAGAACTCATCGGTACAGGAGACAACTTCCTGAACAGGACACCAACAGTACAGGCTCTGAGAGCAACAATCAATAAGTGGGACCTCATGAAGCTGAAAAGCTTCTGTAAAGCAAAGGACACTGTCATCAGAACAAAACAACAGCCTACAGATTGAGAAAGGATCTTCACCAATGCTATATCTGACAGAGGGCTAATATCCATAATACATAAAGAACTAAAGAAAACAGCAACAAATCAAGTAATCCAATTAAAAAAAAACTTGGGAACAGAACTAAACAGAAAATTCTCAGTAGAGGAATATTGAATGGCAGAGAAACACTTAAAGAAATGCTCAACCTCATTAGCCATCAGGAAAATGCAAACCAAAACGACCCTGAGATTTCACCTTACACCTATCATCATGGCTAAGATCAAAAACTCAAGTGACAAAATATTCTGGAGAGGTTGTGGAGAAAGGAGAACCCTCGTCCACTGCTGATGGGAATGTAAACTTGTACAACCACTCTGTAAAGCAATCCAGCACATTCTCAGACAACTAGGAATAACACTTCCTCAAGATCTTGCCACACCACTCCTAGGCATATATCAAAAAGAGGCTCAAGTACACAGTAAGGACATTTGTTCAACCATGTTTGTAGCAGCCTTATTTGTAATAGCCAGAAGCTGGAAACAACCAAGATGCCCCTCAACTGAGGAATGGCTACAGAAATTGTGGTACATCTACACAATGGAATATTACTCTGCAATGAAAAAATAAGGAAATCATGAAATTTGCAGGTAAATGGTGGGAACTGGAAAGGATCATCCTGAGTGAGCTGTCCCAGAAACAGAAAGACACACATGGTATATACTCACGCATATAGTCATGTAATATATGATAAACCTACTAAAATCTGTACATCTAAAGAAACTAATCAAGAGGACTCTGACTAAAATGTTCAATCCTCATCCCAAAAGGCAAAGAGGAAGGACATCAGAAGTAGTAGAAAACAGGGAACAAGTTAGGAACCTGCTACAGAGGGCCTCTGAAAGGCTCTGCCCTGCAGACTATCAAAGCAGATGCTGAGACTTATGGCCACCTGTTGGGCAGAGTGCATGGAATCTTATGAAAGAAGTGGGAAATAGTAAGATCTGGAGAGGACAGGAACTCCACAAGGAGAGCAACAGAACCAGAAATTTTGAACACAGAGGTCTTTCCAGAGACTCATACTCCAACCAAGTACCATGCATAAAGATAACCAAAACCCCTGCACAGATGTAGCCCAAGGCAGTTCAATGTCCAAGTGGGTTCCATAGTAATGGGAAGTGCCACTGCCTCTGACATAATCTGATTGGCCTGCTATTTGATCACCTCCCCCTGAGGGGGGAGCAGCCTTACCAGGCCACAGAAGATGACAATGCAGCCACTCCTAATGAGATCTGATAGACTAAGATCAGAAGGAAGGAGAAGAGGACCTCCCCTATCAGTGGACTTGGGGAAGGGCATGTCTGAAGAAGGGGATGGAAGGTGGGATTAGGAGGGGAGGAGGTAGGGGTTTATGGGGGGGATACAAAGTGAATAAAGTATAACTAATAAAAGTTAAAAAATAAAGAAATAACAAGGAGAGTAATGTTATACAGAAAAGATGTCTTCTGTTGTCAATATTTTAAATTCAAATCCATCTCCATTACTGTCATTCTGGGTAACATCTCAAAGAATAGTTTTTTCTCATCAGCAAACAATGCCAGCACTTTCCTCAGTTATCCATGAATACATTCAACAATTGCACACTGAGAATATTCTTTTTAAATTATTTTTATTAATTACAGTTTATTCACTTTGTAAAACCCCCAGTTCCTCCCTCCCTCCTCCCCTCCCAACCCTACCCTGCCTCCCTCTTTCTCACCCATGCCCCTGTCTCCATCCACTGATAAGGGAGGTCCTCCTCCCCTTCCCTCTGATCCTAGTCTATCAGGTCTCATCAGGACTGGCTGCACTGACTTTCTCTGTGGCCTGGTAAGGCTGCACATCTCTCAGGGGGAGGTGATCAATGAGCAGGCCAATCAGTTCCTGTCAGAGACAGTCCCTGTCCTGTATGTCTGGCACTCTTTGAGAAATGGAGTGTTTGACAATTTAAGAACCAAATTACTTTTCAAATATATTACATGCATATTTTATGCATATATTAAAAAAGGAAATGCATGGAACAATCATAGTGCCACAGCTATGAAATTAAAGAAAGCAAGGATGGCGCCACTGGGTTGTGCATGGAGGACAGATAGAAAAAGATGGTTACAATGGCGTCAATAAAGAGACACAAGAAAAAGATTTAATTATATGAAAGACATCTCCCCTCCAGGGTGAAAGAAAATGGTACAGTGTGAGAAGTTGGACAATCTGACATCTCTAAGACCAAAAGTAAACACCTACTGGAATGGAGTAATGAGAGACAGCATATGACCATATGGGATGGTGCTACAAAGAATAGGGAGTGAAATTATATAGATCTTCATGCACCGCAAAACACCATGACTATGTAAAAACAGGAATTCTGGCATGTTCTCAGCTGGAAGTGACAGGGTCCCCTGTATCTTCTGGAAGAATAAAGATGGCTGACATGCTGATCACAACTGTGTATATCTGCTGCGCTCAGTGTGAACAGACACACGCATAAGTGAAAGCAATTTAAAAATATTATTTAAAAGTTGCTTGCCTGTTGTGAAGAACTTCTGTAAGTAAACACTGAAATATAGAAAGAACAATTTAAGTCCTTTTGGATCACTGAGATGATGAGCACTGTGTGGTTGGGTAGTGGGATGGAAGCAGGTGTCACGGGAAGAAGAAACACTCTGAAAACATAGAAAAGCAGAACCAGAGATGCTGCTTTTAGGTTGTCTAGCAGTAGGTTGAGTGAGGAAAAGATGCCACACAATTTCCACAGAAGGAGAAGTCTGTATATGATCTCAAGGCATAAGGACGGTTCTTCCAGAACTGGTAGTTCCACTGTATTAACTGTGTGGTCCTTGTCAAGCAGATGGTAAGAACATGAAAAGGGAGGAGCAGAAGCAGTGTTAAGACCATTATCAACCCATCTATGTGTCCAATTCCCATTTTCCAGGCACAACTGTGGACTGGAAGAATCACTTCACCATAGCCCAAACTGAAGCCTTCAATAAAGTATACCAAGAGAAGATGGCCAGTTTCCCTCTGGGACTCTTCCCATGGAAATAAGTTCTCAAAAAACTTTTAAATCTTGTGTGGATACCAGTGTTCATTTTCCTATTGTTAATGTGAATGGCTGGGTATAGTCATGAAATAAATCCTCTTGAAGGATTGTGAAAGGTTTTTTTTATGTAATAGTCATAGTAGTAGTGTGTATTTGTGTGTGTGTGTGTGTGTGTACATTTCTGTTTGTAGTGCTTTCAGAGGCCAGAAGAGTGCACTGGTTCCCAGGGAGCTGCAGTTCTATGTATCGTCTTCTTTGGGTCCTAGGAACTGATCTTAGGTACCTAAGATTAATTTAGCTATTAACTTCTGAGTCTTCTGTCCTGCCCAGAATCTTGGACTCCTGACTCATCAAATGTTTGCTTCTTTTATTTCGGGTTTGTTATGTCTCATCAGCAAACTCCATTTCACTTCATGGAATTCCAGCCTTAAAATGATCTTTTATTTTTTTGAGACTCTGTTTCTCTCTGGCTGTCCTGGAACTCAGTCTGTAAACCAGGATGGCTTTGAAATAAGAGATTCACTTGCCTTTATTCCCAAGGGTTTATATGAAAGATGTGCACCACCATCACCTGGTCTAAAAACAAGTCTTTGCAATATTTTTCACATAAAAAACACTATAGAAAAAAATTAGGTATAATCTAAAGTTTTGTGAAATTTTAACATATGACATAAAATTTAGACTTATCTAAGTCTCCCATTCATAGCACCATGGATTTTCACAATGTATGCTGTTTTGGACAGAGGAACAGATTTTGTTGTTGTTTTTTGTTTGTTTTTGTTTTTGTCTGTGACACTGTGGCAGAAAATTGTATTAATAAAGACTTTAAAACCTCATACAAATAACATATGGACTAAAAAGTTTATAAACTTCCATATCTGCTACAGTATCTTCTACTTGGATTTTGCTTTTTGTTGTTTTTTGATAATTTTTAATAAGTGTAAAAATAACGGGTTTCATAATGAAACTTTTATATATATGCATATCATTGTAAACTACTCAGTATTGTTCCTTTACTCATCAAGCCTGTCCTTTCCCCTCTTGTTAGTACTTTCTCCTCCAACATAGCATCCCTCAATTTAAATGCCATATAGACACACTTGTACTTAAATCTAGATGTGCAAAAAGGAGAATAAGTGCAATATTGTCTTTTGTTTTTATGGCTGAGGGAGTGATTTTGTTGAAGATATTAGGGAGTATACAGCCAGAGGCACCTGAAAGATCCCAGAGCAGGAAGAGAAAGTAATACACTGAGCATAACCAGCAGAAAAAGGCCAGCACATGATGGGATCCCAGGCCATGCCAGAACTCTCTGTACTATTGCATTTCTCTCCATCCTCAGTGTGTGCCCCCCTTTTTTCCCCTTTCTTCCCCTTTCCATTTCTCTGCCCTAATGGCTCTGCTCCCATCTGTCTGCCTGTCAACATATCCTCTTGTCTGCTTCTACCATTTCCCCAGGTCTTGCTCCCCTTCCTTCCCCAATAAGCCTCTTTTACATTAGGTCAATTGCAGGCATAATTACTCAGGGGCATACCTTGGCACTGGCATTTTATGTCATAACACCCTATGTTTTTGAATTCTGTTGACCGGAAGGTATCAAACATCTTCAAGCACAAAACAATCCACAGGACTCCAAACTCAGTTAACCAGAAATAAAAATAGTCATAAATAACCAATGGGCTATGGGGCACCTCCCCTACTTGTGTGCAAACAGGGGTGTACCAACTACTTCAGATTTCCCCTGTTCATCAGATAGGGTACCCCATAACCAGAAGCCAGAAAAAACAGCAAGTTATGTAAAAATGCTTGCCATTTTTCTCCAATTGTGGCTGTTCACCTCTGAAATCCATAGAATGGAAAGCATTTTCCAGGGACCTGGGATCAGCTGGGTCAGCTATCCTAAGGTGCCATTGAACCTGGCAGCCTACTTTTTCAGGACCACAAATTGAAGAATGTCAAACAGAATAGACACCAGAAGTGGTGGAAGAGAAGGAATAGGATGGGAGTCCATTATAGAGGGTCCTCTGAAAAGCTCCACCCAGTAAGGGAGGGACAGATGCTGAGACACAAAGTCAAACTTTGTGCAGAGCACCAAAAATTTTATGGAAGAAGGGGGGGAACAGAACAAGAAGGAGGGATAGGAGCTCTGTAAGTAGACCCAGGGAGTCCTGCAGAGACTGATGCACCAACAAAGGACCATACATGTAGAGTACCTAGACTGCCCCATGTCGACTGCTCGGATGTAGCCCATAGACATCTCAGTCTGCCTGTGGGTTCTCGAGTAAAAGGAGCAGGGGCTGCCTCCATCATGATCTTGGTTGCTTGCTCTTTGATCACTTACCCCTGGCAATGTGGCCCTCTCAGTCCACAGAGGAAGAGGATCCAAACAGCCCTAATGAGACTTGATAAGTTAAGGTTAGATGGCAGGGGAGGAGAACTCCCCCTTTCAGTGGATTAGGCAATAGGGATAGGGGGAAGAATGAGGGAGAGTGGGACCAGGAGGAGTTGAAGGAAGGGGCTTCAATCAAGATATAAAGTGAATAAATTGTAAAAGATAAAATAATATGCAGATACTGAGACTCATAACCAAACCTTCTGCAGAGTGCAAGGAATGATATGAAAGAAGGGGAGGGGTTAGTATGACCTGTAGAGGACAGGAGCTCCACAAGGACCAAATATATCTGGGCACAGGGGCCTTTTATGAGACTATATCTCCAGCCAAGAACCATGTATGTATATAACCTAGAACCCCTGCTCGAATGTAGCTCAGTATCCAAGTGGGTTGCCTAGTAAGGGGAACAGGGACTATTTCTGACATGAATTCAATGGCTGGCTCAGTGACCCCACCCCCCAGGGAGGAGCAGTCCTGCTAGGCCACACAGGAGGGCTTTGCAGCCAGTTCTGAAGATTCCTGATAAACCAGGGTCAGATGAAAGAGGCAGGGAGGAGATAAGAGAGGCAAAGTGGGATTGGGAGGGAATGAGGGAGTGGAATACAGCAGGGATACAAAGTTAATAAACTGTAACTAATATTAAAAATAAAAATTTGATGATAATAATAATAATAATAAGCATTGTGATGCACATATAGACAAACACATAGGCCAAACACACCTACATAGAAAATAAAAATAAATCTTAAAAAAACAAGGACACAAAGCTGGAAGCAATGGAATGAAAGAAGGAGATGTGAGGAAGGTGGTAGGGAAATTAATATAATCAAAGTACAATGAATGAGATTATCAAAAGGTTAATAAGATATATTTAAAGAAAATGCATACAAAGATGGATGATAGAAGTGCCATGAATGTCAAACATTATTTCTTCAACTAAGTAGATGCAACAGGACAAAAATATTGAAGATCAATTAAAGGAATGGCTTATTTTATAATTGTGTGTTCCAAAGAACTGCAAGTTGATGGTAATACAATGATTTTTAAATATTTACTTTATTTTTATGTTTCTGTTTGTGTAATTTTATGTGAACGTGCATGTGTATATGGTAAAAGGTTGGTATAATAACTCTTGAAAAGAGTGTAGGTTCTCCTGAAGGTATTAAATAAAGTTTTGAGATATTTTATATGAACTCAAAGAAATATCACAGCATTAAGGCAATGGACTTGGGACAATGCAACAAGAAAAAATATCAAATAATAAGATAGAAGTGGAAATTCCAAGATGTCAATAACTCTTGAAAAGACTAAATCTAAAGTTCATAGGCATAGAAAACATTTTAAAAATCATTTTCTTTAGTTAGGAAAAGAGGTGCTGTGTTGCTTAGTCTTTATTGTCACCTTGACATAATGTATAATTAACTTGGAAAAAGTCTTAATCAATCAAATCTAAATCAAATTGGCTTATGGGAATCTCTTTGAAAAGAATTGTCCTGTATATTCATATGATAGGAGGAAGAAGCACACTGTGGGCAACACCATTCTCTATTCAGGGTGGTGGTTGTGCATAACACTACAAATGAGGAGAAAGCTAGCTTGGGGAAATTATGCAAGGTCTACATGATTACTCTCTCTGTATGTGACTGACTGCGAATGTGGGTTTTAACTTCCTTCCAAGCATTCTCTTCAGCAATAAGCTTTATCCCGGAGTTGTTAATAAAATAAAACCTTTTTTCTTTAGGATTTTTTTGTTGTTGTCAGAACAGATACCAATTCAGATACATGAGAAATTTAGGACATTACTTAGAGAAAACCAGATAAGAACCTATCTTTGTAATATTATAATTAAAATAAAGACAATACATAGATGCTGGCAAGAGAGAAACACCAAGAGTAAATGAAGGTATAACAGTTTTCTTTTTGTCAACTGAGACTTCAAAAGGCAGGATAATGTGCAATGCTGAATTTCAAGTTCTAAGAAGGCAGCTACTGCTAACCCAGGCTGCTGTACCCAGTAAAGATGTTTGTTATAAGTAAAGGAGAAACAAAGAAACTGTATATTTTAAAACACACACAATGAATTTGTGTCCACTAAGAAAGTTCTACAAAATATACTTATAGAAGACTTATAGACTGAAGAGGAAAATAAATGTATCCACAAAGACACAAAAACAAAAATTAGCTTCAGCATTTATCTGACACAACCGAGAGTTGTCTGAGAGAGTCTCAGTTGAGAGATTGCCACAGTTAGCTTCTGGATTGCCTAGCAACCTATGATGTCATCATGTGTCACTGGCCAGGTGGCCCCACCTGGAAGGCATGGTTACCTCCCTCTTTAAAGGGACCAGCCTGCCATGTGGTCTCTCTCTTGGCTTCTTCTCTCTTGTCTCTTGTTCTCTCTTAGCCCCTCTTACTCTCTTCCCTCCCAGCCCTCTCCCCTTTTTCTGTCGGGGCTCCCTCCCTCTCTCTTCCCCTCATCATGTCCTGCTCTCCCTTCTCTCTCTCTTCATCTCTAATAAACGTCTTTCATAAAAAATCTGTTGTGCGCCTCATCATTCATTAATTGTCCCCATCAGTCACCACCAGATTTTCCTGCAGTCATGTGTTTGAATG